CCCTTCCCTGCCCCGGCCCCCCGAGCTCTTCCCGGCACCGTGGGACACCCCAGGGCAATCCTCCTCCAGCCTCTTCAGGGCAGACCTCTGCATCCCTGGAGTTCTCCCCTCTGGCCCCCCTGCCATCTCCAGGGGACCGTGGGCAGCTCCGAATCCCCTGCTCTGCACCTCCTCTGCCCCCGGCCCCAGTGCCACCGCAGGAGAACGCATCCTTGGCTGGGCTCAGCCCAGGGGCCAGATTCTGCGCTCCAGCCCAGGCAGGGGATGAGGCCACTGCAGTCCTCACAGCACAGCAAGAATTTGACCCCACGCCGGGGCCATTTGGGCTGCAAAGCTCCCCCTTCCTCATCCTCGCCACCCCGGCACAACCAAGGGGGATGTGGGCAGGGATGGCTTTGGCCAGCCATTGCAGTCCTCACAGCACAGCAAGAATTTGACCCCACGCCGGGGCCATTTGGGCTGCAAAGCTCCCCCTTCCTCATCCTCGCCACCCCGGCACAACCAAGGGGGATGTGGGCAGGGATGGCTTTGGCCGGTGCTATGGCCGCGGGGTGCTTCGCTGGGACCCCCAGCAAAGGCAGGGGCAGTGCTGGGACCCCCCCAGCTCCCTCCCCAGCTCCCCCAGACCAGCGGGGCTCAGCCAGCTGCTGCTGGGGGGGGATGGAGGGGACATGGGGCATTTGTGGCAGGCGCCTGTTCCTCCCCAGGAGCCTCAGCCAAGTTTTTCCAGTGCAGAAACTGCCAGGAACAGGCCAGGCAGTGGGACAGGAAGCTTTCCTGGTGGAGAAGGGGGGAAGAAAGGACTTTCCCCTCCCGGGGTGGCCAGGCTGGTTTCACCCATCCTCTCAGCTCTCCAGCACCCACTGCAGGCCTGGGACCTGCCACAAATTTAGCTGAAGGGGCAAGGCAAGGGCAGAGTTGCTTTCAGCTTGTCCACAAATGTATTGACACAGACCTGGACCCCAGCGGGCTTCACCTCGTCTCTTTCCCCCCATTTCCTTCCCCCCCTCAGGCTGCTGGAGAGGAGCCTGCAGCACTGGGCAGAGGCCCCAGCCCGCTCCCTCCTTGGCCCACACAGGGACCCAGGGTCACCAATACATTTGTCACCTTTGGGCAACTCTGGGCAGGGAGGGGACACAAGCGTGGGTTGAGAAAACCGTGTTGGCACAGAGCGAACATGAACTTTCATGCGGACGGAGGAGTCTGGGAGGGAGAAACAAGAGAAAAAAGGAATGGAGAAAGGGTGGGAGGAGACAGAAGTCGAAGGAGGGTGGGAGAGAATGCATGAAGAAATGAGAAAGAGGGATGGAATTTGGGGCTCTGCAGAAGGACAACCCGACCTGACGGGCCACATCTCCCTGGCCCTGGAGGAAGAGGAGGGGGAGGCAGGCAGCCCCTGCGGCAAGGCTGGACTGGCTGCGGCTCACATCCCGATCCAAAATACTGCTGCGCCCGCCGCAAGTCCAGACCAGGCTACCATCGTGCCACACGACTGCCTTCACGGGGAGGGCTGGTGCCCCCCGGGGTGCCAGCAGCCCCACCATCCAAGGGACAAAACCTCCCAGTGAAGCAAGTCTGCAAACCCCCAGGGACATGCCGGTGGGGACAGGTCACCCTGACCTATGGCTGCTGGGTGGTGATGTGCCTGGTGCTCAGCCCCACGGCGGGACGGGCAGTGGGGCGCAGTGAGGACAACCTGGTGGGGATGGTGGTGGTGGGGATGAGGTTGGGGTTGCTGGTGGGAGAGGAGGGATGGATGCAAAAGGCTGGGGTGATGCAGGGAAGAGTGGAACCGTCCCCCCCACCCCAAGTTCATGTTCAGCAGACGGCCACTCACCAGGTAAGCAGGCCTCAGAGCACAGTTTATTGTCCAGCGCTTTCACGTGTGCGATGCCCAAGTCATTGTTATTGTCACACCTCAGACCGAGGAAAGCGCCTGTCCTCGGGCCTGGAAGGGAGTTAAGGCAGTTAACGCCGTGGCTTGGCGCTGGGGCTTGCCGTTGCCTTTTTAGTGGTGGGGTATGGGATTTCTGGGTCTTTTCCTCTCCCCTCCCCACCCTCTTTCAAAAAAAAATAAGACAAAAAATTATGCATCTAGATGGGAGCGGGTGAAGAGCGGACAATAACGCACGTGGGCACGGTCTGATCTGCTCCTTTCCCTGCGCCGGCCATGTTGGAGGGCAGCGAAACAGCAACGATGCAGCGATGGGCACCGGCACGCGTGAACTGTGATCTGCTCCCCCACTGCCCGCCTGGGGTTCAACCAAACCTTCCCCCCCGGCACGGCCAAGCGGTCCCTGGTCGGTAGAACCAGGCCATGGTGGCACCCATTGCCTCCCACCAGAGCCTCTCCGGCACCATCAGCGCTCGTGCAAGAGCTGCAGGGATGCTGGGAGGAGGCAGCAACCGGACACGTGGGGCAAAAGAAGCCGTAGCCAAGCTTTGCAGGGGGCATGGAGGCTTTCGGGGCTGAGGGAGGTACCTCTGCTTCTTAGCATCACCTGTACAAGAGATCAGCCCCCAGGTTCTTACCTGCATCCATCAGATGCAGGCGACTAAACCTCAGGAGGGATGTTCCCAAATAAGCCAGTGGCCCCTCTGAGAACGGGCACAGGACCGTGTCCTAAGCAGAAAGGCTGATCTGCTCCCGGAGTTGTTGGGATGCCCGTGGATGTCCACCACAGCCCCTGGTTGCTCCCCAGTTGTCGTATTTGAGTCTCCCCATCAGCAAGAGCCTCCCCACAGGGTAGAGGCCACGTTTCAGGGACGGGTGTTCCTGCTTTCCAGCTCACCCGAGTGCCCAGGTTGGACAAGGGGAACACTTGTCAAACATTTTTGCTAACCAGAGACTTGCGAAGATGGGAGGGGGCACACTGGGGGCCTCCCTGTCGCCCAGAAGAAATCCAAGGTGGCTGGTGGCCGATGGCACAGGGGTGACCACATCTTTCCTTGGCTATTTGAGTGCATGGAGGAGGTGAGAGAGGAGCCCTCAATGCGCGTGTGTTGGCTTGAGAAAGCACACAGAGGACAGGCCAAACAAAATTAGAAAAGCATCCCAAAAGGAACAGCTTTGCAGCCCCTTCCTGTGGGAAAGCCGAGACCGGGATCGCTGAGGAGAAGACTTCCAGAGATGTGAAACAGACCTTGGTGAGGGACAAACACGGAGAAGCCTCTGCCCCACTTTGCCCGTTGGAAACGCCGTCAGATCCTGCACGCCAGCAGGATCCTGCACGCCTGCTCCGCGCCCTGCACCATGCTCACCAGGCTCCCTGGCTTTCCCCCACCCACTGGTGTTCATCCCACCCGTGGGTGGCCCCGTTGTGACGGATGCTTTCCCAGCCCACGCAGGCATCCAGGGCTCTCCCCGACGGCAGCTGGCAGGCAGGGGAGCTGGGGACAGCACAGCATCTGCCACTCGCTCAGCTGCCCACTGGTGACACTGAACAGAAAGCGAGGGGACAACAACGGCCCGGGGCCTTTTACCGTCTTCCTGCGTGGGAGAGGCGTCCTCGTCCTCCAGCACGTCGTTGCCCTGCGGCACAGGCGAGAGGCAGCGAGCGTTAGCGGCCCTGCAGCATCCCAGTGCCATGCCAGGTGCCGTCCCCGGGTCCCTCGGGGGAACGTCCCTGGCCCTGGGGGATCATCCGTGGACCAGGAAGGTGATCCTGGATAGGGGACAGCCCCACTGCCCCATCCACCCCCAGGGCAGCTCCGCAGGGAACGTGGATGCGTGGGCAGCCCCTTCCCCCCGCTTCCCCCCTCCACAAGCACCCGGAGCCGGGCAC